GCAGCAGCAGCGGTAGCAGCAGCAAGAGACACAAAACAGAGCCGAATTACTATACATGCAGCAGCAGAAAACCGCTGCAACTTCTTCTAAGCGCAGCAGCAACAAAAGCAGCAGCAGCAGCAGCACAACCACCACCACCACCACCAGCAACAGCAACAGCAGCAGCAGCAGCAGCAGCAGCAGCAGCAGCAGCATGTACCCTGGAACTCTGATGCTTTCTGTGGATCCGGGGCAGGCGGAGGCGGCGCCTCAGCCCGCGAAAAATTTGCCCGCTTCAAATCAGAAACCACTGTATATATACTGCAGCAGCAGCAGCAGCAGCAGCAGCAGCAGCAGCAGCAGCAGCAGCAGCAGCAACATAGGGTTTAGTGTTTACGTGTCAGTGAGTGCATTACTACCTTCTATTATGCATTCCATATTAATTAGGGTTTAGGGTTTAGGGTTTAGGGTTTAGGGTTTACGTATCAATGAGTGCATCACCATCTACTATACCAATACATTATGCATTCCACATTAACTAGGGTTTAGAAATAATTAGGGTTTAGAGATAATTAGGGTTTAGGGTTTAGGGTTTAGGGTTTAGGGTTTAGGGTTTAGGGTTTACGAGTCAGTCATAGCATTGGCGATGGTTTGAGGGTTTTTGTCTGCCGGCAGCTGAAAATAATTTTCATCGAAAACCCCCGAAAAGTCCCCGCCCCCCAGCTGCCGCAGCTCTTTAGATACACGCAGCAGCTCCTGCAGCAGCAGCAGCAGCAGCAGCAGCAGCAGCAGCAGCAGCAGCAGCAGCAGCAGCAGGGGTTGTTGTAGTAGGAGGAGGAGGAGGAGCAGTACAGGAGGAGGAAGGGGAGGAGAAGAAGCAGATGCTGCAGCAGCAGCAGCAGCAGCAGCAGCAGCAACAGCAGCAGCAGCAGCAGCAGCAGCAACAGCAACAGCAGCAGCAACAGCAGCAGCAGCAACAGCAGCAGCAAGATACCATGGAAGCAAGGCTGCCTTTGTCTCTAACAGCTTCGGCGATGTGTCTTCGTTCTCTTCCCCTGCCGAGGAGTTGCTGCTGCTGCTGCTGCAGCTGCTGCTCTGTTGCTTCTGCTGCTTCTGCTGCAGTGAGCCCCAGCAGCTCCCACCCAACGGGTATGCCTGCTGCTGCTGCTGCTGCTGCTGCTGCTGCAGTTGCTGCTGCTGCTGATGGCGGCGGGACAGCGGCCTGCTGTGTAGATGAAGAAGCAGCAGCAGCAGCAGCAGCAGCAGCAGCAGCAGCAGATGCTGCTGCTGCTTCTGCTGCAGCAAGGGACTCCGGCAGCAGCTGCTGCTGCTGCCGCAGCCACCGCAGC